TGTTGTTGGCTGGGGATAGCACTTGCTATCACAGTTGCATGAGAGTTTCTCTCCTAATAAAGGAGGTACTTTGTAGTGGTTGGACGATAATGCCCCTTTTTTTTTATAGGACCTTTTCTTTTGAAATGGGCAATAATATACTAAACTTACAAACACTACACGGATGCTAAGAATCGAACCCAAGACCTTACCTAGGAAAGCAATTACTCCAAATCACTACAATAGTGGGTCCTTTGTCCTCATTCATTTTTCTAGATTGCCTTGGAAGTCTGCTTTTAATTTTGAAATGGTGCGAAGGTAGATTTTTCGTATGGTGCCAAACATGGTCCTACTTTCTTCTACAAAGTTTGGTACTATGTAGATGATCTCTTCAAGTAAACTGAAGCTGCTACTTTATGATTGCTTTGATGATCTCTTCACATGGACCGGTGATGCTGCTACTGCTTTTATTATGGTTGCATATGTTGTTGGGAGATGAGAGATTCTTTTTTATGAAATGCTTCCATCATGTTCTGGATATTGTGAATCTCTTCTTATGTTATATTATTCAAGTATGAGATGTCATCATCTTGTGCTTCCAAATGATCTACTAATTGATTATACAATACTTCAAAAGTCTCTTCTCTTATTGTGCTCAACTTGAAATTATGTGTTTCATCAAGTCTTCTTGCTAAAATATGAGAATAGATCTTCATGAAATTGGACTAGTATAATAGGTGCAAATGGATGTCATTGAATAATTGTTGTCGTGCTAGTGATGCTCCTCCGTATCTCTTGATATCTTCGTTAATAGGAATATTAGTAATTTCAAATTATGGGGTCCTTGGGTTTACTTCAGTGGTTGAGGTGCTCCCCCTCCCCTCATGACTCACTTTTGAATCCTTGAGAGTGTGTGCCCCCTCTCCCTTATTGATGTAACTAAAAAAATGTAGTTTCAAATTTTGGAGGAATAGATAGTTTATTGTGAGATATAATTATGCCGTGTGTTGCTTGTCTGGGTATATATTACGCCAAAAGTCACTTTTGGTCCTTATAGTTTGGCATTTCAACCACTTTTGACCCTCTAGTTTCAATTTCATCAATTTTGCCATTGTAGTTTTGTATTTGTAGCAATTGAAAGACAAAATAGTATTCTTTTCAATTTCTTTGACAGTGCAAGGGGCAATGTTGTCAACCCAAAACTCTTGAGCATAAAAGGTAGTCTGAAACACACCCCATTTCATATTAGGGCTTGAAATTCAACCACTAATCCCAATTTTTGAAGAACCCTAAACTCAAATGGTCAATTTCAAGCCCTAATATGAAATGGGGAGAGTTTCAAACAAGCTTTGATGCTTAGGGGTTTTGGGTTGATGAAATTGCCCTTGCACCATCAAAGAAGTTGACGAGAATACTAACTTGTCCTTGAATTGCTACAAATACAAAACTACATGGTCAAAATTGACGGAATTGAAACTACAAGATCAAAAATGATTGAAGTGCCAAACTACATCTACATGGACCAAAAGTGACTTTTAGCCTATATATTCTACTAAAACCATTCTGCATGAATACTTGTGCAACTAGATTGACTCTTCTCCATAGATAGAGATAGAGATAGAGATAGTAACATATAACTTTTTGGGTTTTTAACTGTAGACGTCCCTGAACTTTGCCTCGAGTTGCAATTGGGTCCCCAAACTTTTTTTTTTTGAGACAATTACATCTATTAACTCGACAAATAGTTTCAATTGGGTCCTACCGTCCAACTCTATCAATTTGACAGTCAAAATGAGGGGGTAAAAGCCTCCTTTCGAGTTCTTCATCCTTCATTGACCCCAACTCCACCTTCTTCATCCATCATCGACCCCAACGACCTCACCTCCATCTTCAGAGCCTTCTTCACCAAGCCCAGAACTCAGAAACTCCCAACTCAACGATCCTGGTTATGAGAGTGAAACCATCAGAGGCAAAACCCCACAAAACCGCAAAACTCAACGACCACAATTCGACTTTTAGGAAGGATTAAGCCATCGGAGGCAAAACCCCAAAATTCAGAAACCCTCAAGCCCAACACCACCATACAACCACCCTCGTCCCCACCCGAGATCCACCCAACCTCACTTGAGACCCATCTAGATCCTATCTCTGTCTTTCTCTGCAAATCCCATCCATATCCTCTCTCTCTCTCTCTCTCTCTTTGCAAATTCAAAAATTGAAAAAATAAAATAAAATCAAACACTTTGGATCTTGGGGGTGGTGTTGCAGGAGTTGGGGGGTGGGTTGCAGGTTGGGTTGGGATCTGGGTTTTGAAGGGGTGGGATAAGGAGGAGGGGGAGTTGGTTGCAGGAGAGAGGAAGAGACAGAGAGGAAGACCTGAGAGAGAGCGAAAGAGGGAGATAGAGAGATTTGGATTTCTATTTTTATTTTGGCTAAGACCAAACTTTACTTTTCGTCCCTCATATTGCTAAATTATTACGATGGTACTTTAATTATGCCTTCATTTTCAGAAATCATTCTTTCCGTCATCTCAGTCAACTTTTCCGTTAAAAATGATGACGTGGCATGGACAAGTCCTATTTGGCAAGGCAAAAATGTATTTTCACAAAAAATTTAAAAAATAAATCTCATCTCCCCCCCCCCCCTCTCTCTGTGCCCCCGCGAGACGCAGAAGACACCAAGTCCCAAATGACCCAAAACCCATAACACCACAAACCCACAAGCACAAGAAGAAGAGGAAGAAAATTCGAACAGTCCAAGTGGGGTTGTAAGGTCTTGTGCACTTTGTGATGTTCGAATTGTGCTGGGCATCTTTGAAGGTCTATTGAGCAGCCAAGTTCCAGCAAAGTCCCTGGCCCCTTGGCGTCTTGGTGTCCTGGCCCTAAGTCCCTGCGGACATAGCCAGCCATAAAACCAACAACAAAAACAAGAACACTCTTCTCTTCCCCATATTTACAACTAAATATTTTTTGGGTTACAGAGACTGTGAAAAACCCAGTTGAGATTTGAGAAAATTAACAAGCACAGATATATGGAACCATGAGATTTTCGAAGGAAAAATTCTCAATTTATGTTCTTTGAGAACTGAGAAAAGAATGGGAAAGAAGAGTGGATGAAAAGACAAATATGCCCTCAGTTTTAATGGAAAAGTTGACTGAGATGACGGAAATGACGATTTATGAAAGTGGAGGCATAATTAAAGTACCAATGTAACAATTTAGCAATATGAGGGATGAAAAGTAAAGTTTGGTCTTAGTCTAGGGACCATTGCTACAATTTGGCCTTTTATTTTTAAGTTTATTTATTTATTTATTATTTTTTTGCACTTTCTTCATTTTTAAAATTTAAAATATTTTAATTGAGATTGACGATTTTAGCCCTCAAATTAATGGCCAAATTGACGGAAGGACTCAATTGAAACGGATGAGAGAGTTGGATGACCTAATTGCCTTGAAAAAAAGTTTGGGGACCCAATTGCAATTCGTGGTAAAGTTCAGGGACCTCTACAATTAAAAACCTAACTTTTTTAGTCTAGAAGGACCCCGAAGTCAGAAATAAGTTGACCTAAACTCTCGTTGCTCTCTCTTTTTTAGCCTTCAATAAAACTATCCTTCGTTTTTAATACTCTCTCTCAGTTCCTACTACGACTTCCAAATTCCAAATTTTTTGTTGTTGTTCTAAAAGGTTGTCAACCCCCAAGTTAGGTCCTTATAAGAGCAACTCCACCCATTTGCCCCTTGCCATGGCGCGAGGGGG